GGCAGTTGACGCTGAGACACTGAATGAAGCCGATCTCTGTCAAACACTTTGTCTCTGAGTGCTTAGTGCACACTGCAGAGAGGGGTAAAGGCCCCAAGGGATGTTTCTGAGACAGCCCTTTAATGCTCTATCCACCAGTTTGGCTGAGTCTTTGTGATGCTGCTGTCTGTATCAGTCAGCATCAGAGCCTGGCACCGGTTTTATGTCATTCTCTCAGCTTGGCAAGTCAAGGGACCTTTGCCAAACTGGACCTTCCCATCCTCACCAAGAGGCCCAAAGCAGGTGAGGGAACCCTTCCAGTGCACATGGAAATAGTGCCAGGAAGAGCTGGGGGAGAAAGGCTTGAAATAGCAGAGCTGAGCCCTTTCCGTGTCGTCATCAGCCCTGTATCTCAACACCTGGCATCTGCAGTCTGAAAATCACAGGTTTTGCCATCAGCCCAACCTGGAGTGTGGTGGGAGTGCACCTTCCCCCATGCTGTACGGCGTATGCTGGGCGCACACCTTCAGACTGTAATCCTGGAGGTGTCTGTCTATAGCGTGTTGCGCCAGGCCACTTCTGGAGTTCGCATGTGATCTGGATGCCTGAGGAGTCATTCGAATCTTGTGTTTCTGATGACACATCCAAAAGGGCAGGGTTCACATTGTAAAAATAGACTCTTTAAGAGTTTCAGCCAATAAGATTACATCATGCAGGTAGAGTTGTGTAACTCAACCCAAGAGCACAGGTACTTCATAGTAAGTCCCCATGTGATGTAGGTGTGTCATGTACCCGGAACTACATATACACCACAATCATCAATCAGAACTGAACACTTCTGCCACTGTTCTGTTAGCTGTAAGTGGTAAACTTTTATAATCCCTGGGGCAAGCCCCTAGCAGTGACATGCGCTAAGCCAGTATATTAGCCAGGTTTGCCTGCATAACCTCATAAGCAGTACAGGTATCCTTACATAGGTGGGCCGCAGCTTGAGAAGGTGTCATAGCATCCGCCATACCAATGCGTGAACCCTGCAGTATTGACAAAGCATCAGAGGGGCCATTAGTACACACAGCCTCAGAGTGCATGTTCCTTAGTCCTACAGCATGGCATCAGATCCCGATCCATGTCCCCTCCATGGTGCAAAGCCCTCAGGACCCTCTCAGTCCAACCAACGTCCATGCTCATTGAGCAGAAAGCAAATCCTGAAGGAGGGTCATTCAAAACACTACTGCTAGGGTCACCATCACTCTGACCTCCCCCTCTGAGGGTTCCTCCCTCATCTTTTCAACCTTTTCTGCATCATACACAAACTTCTTGTTCTTATCTTCTAGGCCTTTTACATTTTAACCCATCATGTCTATTTGTCCTGTTACCTTATAGTAACGGTCTTCTATTTAAGGCACTGGACTGGGACACAGGCTATTTGGCTGGCATTCAGTCCTGAAAACTCCCTGTGTGACCTCAGGAAAATCATTCATCTCTTTGCCTCAGTTCCCCATCTTTTGTCTGGCTTGTTTATTTAGACAGTAAGATCTTTGGAGTCTGGACTGTCTCTTCCTCTGGGTTTGTACAGTGCTTAGTGCAATGGGATCCTGAATTTGGGCGGGGGGCGGGGGTGTCTAGGTGCTACTCCAATACAAATAAATAGTAATAATAAATTCATTCCCGTGCAGAGGGCCAGCATAAGGCCTATGAACTACTTAAATCCTAATGCTTAAATGGGACTGTAGGGCATAGGTCTTGTGCCTATGCACTAAATTTACCCACAGTGAATAGGAATTTGCCCATGGGCCTGATCCCTTTCTCAGCAGCACAGTGGAGGGGCAGGGATCACTTGTGCTATAACGTCCATCCTAAATCTGGTACCATGGTCCTAGTCGGTTCAAGGTCATCCCAATCTAACCTTTCACCAGCACAGGGCTCTCTCCTTTCTTCCATTCATGGGTGGACAAGCTGCCCCCAAAGTGCCAGGTGTTAGCAAAGTCTAGTCATTGTCCAGTGGTTAAAGTAGCTTCAGGGTGGCAACCAAAGGAAGAGTGTGAATGAGTTTAAAACATCTCGGCATCAGCGTGATTTTGTCACAAGTCCTATGCTGGATGGGCCCTTCCCACCTTCTTCAGGTACCTCATCTCCTTTAATACTGCCAAGTAAATGAAAGGGGCGTCAAATGCATGGACAAGCTCCATGATGCTGCACAAAGGCAGCCTTTAATTTACTGGTGAGCACCATACGGAAGACAAAATCCCATTGTGGGGGATGAAATATTGTACTCCTAAATTTGAGTGCAAACCTTCAAATCCAGCCTCCCATGCATAGTCTTTACTTAGGGAGTCACCCAATTGAGCTGCGCGGGATCAGGCTTGTACCGATCGGGATAAGCCATCCCAAGGAATGGGGACTTTAGCTGCACTCCGAAGGGCACCTGATAGCGCCACTCCCTCAGGGGTCTCGTATCTCGTGAAGGGATCATTCCTCGGCTACACTATGGCTGCGGCATAGTCTCTGAGCATGTGTGCATCCGAGGCAGCTGCAAAAGTTCTTTTGCACCCAGCCTCGGAGAAGACGCAAAGGAGACTTCCAATGAGCAGAAAACCTTGGTGGGAAGATGTGGAATCTTCCCAAACAGAGCCGGTTCGCTCAATAAGCAGCAGGACACCGACCAGGGCCGGCTCTACCATTTTTGCCGCCCCAAGCAAAAAAAAAAAAAAAAAGCCGCTCAGACTGCCGAAGCAAAAAAAGGTGCCTGGACTGTGCTGCCCCAAGAATGGACGGAATGCCGCCCCTTAGCATGTGCCGCCCCAGGCACGTGCTTCCTCCGCTGGTGCCTGGAGCCGGCCCTGACACCGATGTTCCCTAGCTTTGTAAACATGTTAGTTCTCCAATCCCCTAGTGAAGTTTAACATTAGGGGCACGTTCCCATTCCCCTCCCCACCAGGCCCCGTGCACAACCAATGGCTAATGAAGAGCAGAGTGGGTAATAGTCTGGGTTTGTCATGCAGCTTCCCCGAGGAGAGCTTCAGTTCTCCATCTTGGAGAAAGTCAGTTGGGTTCCTTCGTGCTGAGATTTCACTTTCAGAAGTGCCCCTAGGAGCAGCGTGGAAGCATGGCAGAGGGCACCTTCTTGGCTTCCAAAATAGTGGTAGCCAGGCAGACAGTCTCTGCATCTTACACATATGGGAGCATCCACCGCATTGCTGGATGTACAAGATACTTGTGAATGAAATCAGTACAGCCTCCTAAAATACTTGCTCCCCTTCCCCTCTGCAGCACAATCTATGTTCAATGGGCTCTGTTAATACCCTCAGTGCTAGCGCGTCATGTCAAATATGCCCACACTCATGGGTGACATCCCATACACTCACCTCCAGGACAACCAGAGGATTAAGTCCATCTGATACGCCCACCTCCATGGCTGAGGAAGAATGGAAAAAGGATGCTGGTGGTTTAGCACATTACTTGGCACGTGCTAAGTGCTTTTGATCGGTGGATACCAAAGGTGTGTCGGTATCATTCTCCCCATTTTACAAAGAGGTATAGCGAGACACTGAGAGGTGCCAGAACATGACGGCCATGGCTTGGCTGAACCATTGCTGATAGTGTTGTGTTAATGTAATACAATAAAACTTTTATTAAAATGTGCACAATGATCGGCTCCCTCTCTCCTCTACTTTGTAGGGCTCTCCTCTTCTTAGATAGTAAGTCCATTGAGGACCGTTAGGGTCACATCCGCGTCTATGTTTCTACTCCACCAGTACAATGGGGCTTCAATCCTGATACTAGTGGCAGAGTTAGACGTAGACTGCTGGTCTCCTGCCGCCCAGGCTTGTGCTCTAACCATTTAGACAACACTCCTCTACCAGAGCCAGGAAGAGAATCCAAGAGTCCTGACTCCTAGTCTCCTTTGCTCAACTCCACCAAACCACAATCTCCTCTTAAAACTGGGAACAAAAATCACAGAGTCCAACCACTGAATCCCAGGTGCTCTCTCACCTTGAGGCAATACTAGAGGGGGGTCTGTTTACACACTGGAAGAACAACAGGCTGCAAAGCAGAAGGAGAAGCCAAAGAAAATCAAGATCAGAATTAAATTCTTTAATACAAAAAAAAGTTTGTTTGTCATCGTTGTAGTTGTTTTTAAAGATATATCTGTACTTTTGTGTTGGTTTGTTTAAAAATAAATATGTACTACGGAATATCTTGAAAAAATTCACTAGACACAATATGTATTGTTAATATCTTTTTCCCCGCAATTATTACAGATAAACAGTAGCACCAATAAATAAAATGATAACAAATATTAAAATTAAAAAAGGAGAAATTCAGGATGTAGAATTTTCTATTGTTCCTTTTTTTTTTTTACATATATAAAAAAAATCGTAGCGTCTATTTAATCCGAATCACACATATACATAGACATATATATATATATATACACACACACAGCCAAATATATATATAGTATGTAGATGTATATCTAACCCTTGTCTCAATAGGAATGTGTAGGGGTGTCTGTTAGAGAAACTCAATTAAATAACTACCTAGAACATGCTACTGAGTCTGCCAACAATTGGGGAGATGGGTTGGGGCATAAAAGGGTTAAACTTATACACAATCAGTTAAAAAAAAGGAGGTATGGTTTATAAATAGTTGAAATTAAATATTAACAAGAAATACTGAAAAATCCCTACTCTTTAATTAAATTATGTTTAATTTCTAATTTAAAAAGGGATATTAAATAAGTATATAAAACACTTTCTCTTCCCGCCTCGGAAGCTTCTGTCTTAAGCATGACGCAGCGTGAATATATACATGATGGATGCAGGCACACACCCGCGTGTTTTCCTCCTCCTGAAAGCCATCAGTTGGCTGGGGAATTCGTAGTGGTTAGTAGTCACTTGTGGTGAGTCTGTTTTTAGACTGTCTTGTCTTTTGGGACGCTTTCATTTGGTACATTATTAGGCGTTGAAAGTTCAATTGCAGGTGGTGGCTGGCAGCATTCTGACACAAACCAAGTATCCTTTTGATTATTGTTTTTTTAATCACAGAACTCGATTATATATATCCACATAGACATACAAACACTCATTGGTGTGCAGGGGTGTGTGTGTGTGTGTGTGTGTGTGTGCATACTGGCGCATATTACAGATATAGAGAGAGATGGCCAAGATTTTCAAATGAGACTAGTGATTTGAAGTGATGGGTACCCAACCTGAGCCTCCTTAAAGGGGCCTGGTGTTTCGAGAAAGGGGAAAAATCAGGCCTCCTTAGGGTATCTCATATGAAGCACTCAAACAATGAAAGCATCCCAAATCACTAGGCACTTTTGAAAATCTTTGCTGTATATATATATATATAATAAGTACAGATAATTAGATATACAGACACACAAACACACATACACACACACACACACCCCTACTGTGTATATACTTTTGATTAATATCCCTTTCCAGAAATCCGCATCTTGGACGCTCTTCAGTGGCAGCGCTGTGCATGAGGAGAGCAGACCGTGCTGTCTGGCTATGCACGGGTCCCCATTCTTGCTTCAGCGCCCTGCAGGCCCATCTGTCGTTTTGCAGCCACCAGGGTGAGAAATCGAGTTTCTTGTGATACCTTCTCAAGGGGAACGGTTCGTGCGTCAGCTGCCCACCATCCTTAAGGCCAGACTCTACCCTCGGCAGAGTTTCTACAGCAAGTCAAATCAACGCAAAATGTACACTGACATCCCGTGTCCCAGCAAGGCAGGTCGTGAGACGAATAGGGGCAAAGGTTGGAGGGAAGGAGGGGGAAAAGAATCCTCAACCACGTAGAGGGCCCAGCGTGCCAATCCGTTTCCTTGACCTTTGACCCATAACACCCCAAGGCACCGCTCTTTGGAATCCCCTGCCCCTCCTCTCTGGTTCCTCTCCTCCCCGGCACGGGGAAGAGAAGGTGGTTTGTGGAACAGCCCACGCAACAGAGAAACAGCGGCGGCCGCACAAGTCAGTCAGAGTTAAGAAGGCTACACCCAGCGCTTTCCAGTCTCAGCTTGTTTCTTATGCCCCAAGTAGCCCGCTTGTGTCCACAGCAGTCGAGTATATCCAGTGAAGACACCAATAACATTAGCAATGTTAAAAAAATTCAGTGTGTGTACGTACACACACGCGCGCACACACACACACATACAGATGTGGTTAAAATATATACACATATATAGATGTATGTATGTATGTATATATATTTATACCTACATATAGGTCTGTATGGGAATCCCATAAAATACACCCCTATAGTCTTCCTGGCTCTGTTATTTAGCAGCATGAAAAGAAAAAAAAAATAAAATAAAACAGTTCAAAACCCAAAGGTGAATCCTGTGCGGCGGGTGCCTCGGGGAATGTTCCTTCCGGAGTCCATCGTCCGTACTGAAAGTGCTGTGCTCTACCGATCCTTCATTTTAGGGTTCATTTGGATTAGGGTTTTTGTTTTTTTCTTTCTTTCTTTTTCCATCCAGGCGAGAAATCAAGCTCCAGAAACAGGGCTGTTCCCCCTTCTTCTCCGCTGCTCACCGTCTCGGCTTTTCACATCTGCTGGGGAGGAGAGGGAGGAAAGAGAGAAAAGAGGTTACATTTGTGTGGCAGGGAGGGTGCTGACAAGTTTAAGACCGTGTTGAGGCTCTGCGGGGACAAGCTGAAGTCACCGCAGGGACCCAGGTAGTGATTCTTCCCGTACTAGAAGAGGGAGAAAAATCACTGAGAATATCAACCCAGCCAAATCACATTCCCCTGGGTTCTTAGGTTGGGGGGTGAGTTAGGAACAGAATTACAGCTGAAAAGCACCCCTTCTCCCTCCTCAACCTTCAAACCCACCCTGCTTCCCATCTGCCCCTTCTCACACTCACACACCAACTCATGTGCACAGGGACTGACCAACCCATGCAGAGACACACACCCCCACACACCCCCACCCCAACTCCCAACTTCGCCTGTGGTTCCCATTGGAAGCAGTGCAGCCAAAACGGTCTCATGCAGGCAAGAAGATGAAAGGAAAGTGCGTCTCATTCCACTAGCTGCTGCAAGCAGGGGTTAGTGCCAGAGAACAGCGGCAGCCGCTTGTGGAAGCGGCAGGAGAAACGAGAGCTGGCCCTGCCCCGTAGGGCCCAACTTCAGAAACTCCAGCGGGGAGAGAGGGAGGAACTTCAGCTTAACCAGCTTTAAATCCGGAAACAGCTAAATTACCCGCTCCCATGGCTCCATCCTGCACTCCCGGCCAATGCACTAGCTCTGGAAACCTCTAATCATGCCACTCACCCCACCACAGGGAAGGCTTGGCAAGAAAGACTAATAATCCCTCAAGCCAGGAAGTTTTTTTTTTTTTTTTTTCACTTGGGAATATTTCCCACCCTTGAATTCTGAGGGGATGATTTCCAGCTGCTCCTGGGAGGGGGGAGGAGGTGGCGGGAGATAAAGGTCAAGGGCAGGGAGCTGTCTGGTCTCACTCTCTGTAACTCAAGAAGGGCTGGCTCGGCTCTGCCCACAGCACCAATCACTCTCCCGCTCAGGTTACACCTCCCCCCGCCCCACCCCAAAAAAATTTCCTCTGCATTCACAAGCCCTGGCAGTGCCAGAAGTCTGGGCTTCCCGGGGTTTGGCACAAAGCAGGATGGCACGATGCTTTCGGAGTGTGAGCACCTCGCTCCCAGGGATGGCTGTAATACACGGACGCTGATCAACCACAAAACTACCACCAGGCAGGGGACGAGATGCCTCAGCTTCCAGCCGCTGGCCACGCAGGACCCTCGTTTTCATAGCCGCTTGCCCTCTTCGCCCCCAGCAGAAACAGCCTGACACCCTCTTACGGGAACCGAATCTTTGTGAATCGAGGCTGGAGTTTATAGCCACAGGCTGGTCCTTAGCAGTTCCTTTTACACATCTATACAGAGATTCTCTCACACACACCAGCAGGATCCTCAGCTGGTGTCAATCAGCATAGCTCCATTGAATTCAATGAGGTGACACTGATTTTCACTAGCTGAGGATCTGGCCCACCGTTTCTATGCAGGTCTGTCTCCAGCTATAGCTATGACTGATAGAGAAGACGTAAGTAGGCTGAAGACACGCACACAGTATGGACGGCTAGACAAACCACACTGTCTCTTTGTAGTCCCATCACACATGCAGCCAGAAAGAGTGTCCCTGCCTTGTGTACACTATGGACAGACACACACATACCATGTCTCGTGGCAAAGCCTCACGTGCTCTCATCTCATTGTTAGGGCATGTAGGGAGCTGTGTGCACACCACAGGCCAAGAGTCCTCTCCCTGGCATTTAGGAGCATGAGGGCAAGGAGAACTGCCGGCTCTAGGGGTGCGTGGGGGAGGGCTCAGGGAAAGGGAGGACTTCCTGGACTGTTTCCGGTCTCCCCAGAGGGGTGTGAAAGAGTCACCCTCCAAACATACCAAGGGATACATTGTCTATGCAAAAGGGGGAGTGTAATCAAAGTGCGATAGAGGAGCCGTGTGCCTTTCCTAAACCAACCAATGGGCAGTATGTACACTGGGACGTATATGGGGTTACAGGCTCGTTCCCTGCTTAACACAGCAACACAAAATCCACCAGGGTGTCCTGCTAGTGGGTACAATGGCCCCAAACGCCCCATCTGTGGAAGCGTTCCATCCGATCCCTGCCAGCGCATTCGAAGCTCACAGCAGACAAACGGTAAACGCTGTCCCCTTCCCATTGCAAGGTGTCCATCTGATCCCTGGCCCTTAGTACAGAGGAAAGGAGTGACCACAGAGCATTGGTGCCAGAAGCCAGCAGGAAGCAAGCTCCCTCTCTCTCTCTTTCTCTCTCTTTGGGTGTTTCTCTTTCATCCTTCAGGACACAAACCTGCAAGTGCGCTCGTTTAACTCAAGCTGCCTCGACTTGCAACGTGAGTCTGTGAATTTGCAGGAACATTTACAGGTCTGGGGATCTTGTACAAACAAGTGCTTTCTCCTCTCTGAGCAAGGCTCACAGTGACTGCAAAAAGGCAAAAGGAAAGAAGTCTAAGCTACAGCGCTTCAGCAGGAAGAAAATACACATGCAACACCCTACACATCCAAGCAATCCCCTGCCCCCTCCCCGCAGCTCCCACACGGCCCCATTGGAGCGTCGCTGGCTGACAGACTCGCACGGCAGCGCTCCGACAGGCCCGGAACCTAGTCGCGACAACACCCACTTGCGTTAGCGTAAAGAGACAGAAAACAGGCTCTCAGCACGGTATTCACCAATCCCGCATTGGGGCCAATCCGCACGGGGGCAGGGAGGTGAGAGAACCACCCTGACTACGGTTGGGTTAGCAACGGGCCCCTGAAATGGAATGTCCAAGCTACAAAGAGGCCAGCAGCTAATCAGTTAAACCCCCGTGGTCTCTCCTCCCCTGGAGAGACAGACAGGGCTCAACTGTGCAGTGAGGGCAGAGAAGACCCCTGCCCCCTGCTGCTACAGTTGAGTTTTGTCTTGTCCTTCCTTGGGCACTGGGGGATTTAATTCATTCTTTAAGCCCCCAGCCCACTCCAGACCTGCCACCTGAGAGACTATTAGGAGAAAGGGTGTGAATTTACAATGCAGAATTGTGTGAATCAGAGTGAGAGAGAGAGAGAGAGAGAGAGAGAGAGAAGCCACCAAATCCAGCAGATGCAGAGAGCCCCCTTAAGTCATCCAGCCTTCCACTACTCTAGGCTTGTGTTTTCATCAGACACACACGCACATGCACACACGCATGCACAGCTGAGGCCAGTCTCCTGTCGCCCGCCTTGCAGCAGGGACTGGCGGAGGACGGAAGCCGAGATGGGAAGGGGGATTGCACAGGCGCATTATAAGGAGTGATTACAGCGCAATGAGCCCGCCCGGCCACCACATTCCTGTGCCCTCGGAAACGACTGCAGCCGCTCGTCAGAGAGAGGAGGTGCCAAGCAAGCAAAAGCCACCTGCCCTGAGCTGCGCTACCCCTGCCCAGTGCCAGAGCTGTGCCACCACCAGTGCTGCCCCGCAGGGCTAGGAGCCAACCCGTGATTCGGAGGCGAAGGGGGAGATTTTGAGTGTGCTGCAAGCGGGCTGATTGGTTTGGGACAGAGTCTATGAGCACATGACACAAACGTACAAGCTGAGCGGTTTGTACCGGCTTTTCTTGCGCTTTCTCTTTTGCCCCTTCCCCTTTCCTCGCTTTGATTTTCTGGAAGAAAAACCAAAAAAAAAAAAAAAAAAACAGAAAAAAAGAGAGAGGGAGAAAGAGAGAGAGAGGGAGGGAGAGAGAGAGAGAGAAAAAACGGAAGAAAACCGAAAGGAAAAAAATACAGCCGTGTGTGTCCATTTGGGGGAGGGGGAAACACCCGGGGCAGGGCCAGAGAACCGGTCTCTGGGATGATGTGCTCATCACACCATTCATACTGGCCTTCTCACGCTCCCCACCACAACCACAGGGCAGAGAGCCCTTTAGATCAAAAGCAGCCTGGACCAGTCCCAGTAACAGCATCCTATTGCCCTGCTGCTACCGCCTCAAGGGTAGGAGGGCTTTGCGGGCGGGGCGGTGGGGGGGGGGGGCAAGGGGTGCAGAGAGACTCAGCAAGCATGGCCCAAACTCTGGGAGGGCCGGCAACAGAGCGTCCGTCACTGACTGACAAGAAGAAACCAGAACAGAGAGACTCCCCTCCTCCTTGATAAACTAAAGCGCTGGGCCCAGACATGCCCAGGTGTGCAGGACAAGCTGCAACACCAGCGCTGCCCCATGTGCCAGATGCATCGCCAGTATTCCAAAGGGAACGTCGGTGCTGCAGAGAATTCCACCGCGGTGACCAGCCGGGCCAGAGTTAATACGTGCTGGGACAGGGGGTGGAAGCTGCCCTCTGTGAGGGCGGCGGAGGTGGGGGGGTGTTAAATCTTTGCCACGGGAGCCTCGCTACTAAGGGGTAACGAGTTGAAAGCGTTTGGTCAAAGCTCTCCCAGCCCTTTGCCCCGCACCCACTGCCCTCGTGGCTGCCTGGGGCAGCTTGGCATAGGCAGTAGCCCGCTCACTTGTGGGGGGAGGACCCTGCAGCACTAGGCACATCGGGCGCCCAGCCTGTTTCCCTTTGCTGCGGCGGCTGCATGGGCAGATCGAGTGAGTGATTCCTGCAGGCAGGTGAGCAGCGGGGCAGGAGGAGTCAGAACCTGAGTGACTCACTTGCTCATCCTTGCTGCTCGCTGGCTCCTGACTGTCAGCCCATGGCTGGGAGCTCCAGGGCTCCCACGCACTGGCAGCTTCCTACCTGCTCTGCATGAAGGAGGAAGAGGCCTGACCTAGTTCTGACACCTGGGAGGGGAAACAGACCCCTCTTTGCCAGCCAAGCAGTTTTCAAACCTCCCCCTCCCCCTTCCACCTGGCGCTGCCCAAGAGAGGAGCCGACGGAGCCAAGAGACTGACTCATTTTACACCTTCTTCTTCCAAATCCATCCATCGCTTCTGATTGGCAGGCGGGTCTGGGAGGAGCCGGCACCGATCCGGCTGCCAATAGCAGAGCAGGGGGACAGCCTGCTCTACCCCCTCCAGCTGCACTAGCACCAGCGCAAGGGACACACGCGACAGAGACAGCAGACAAAGTCCCAGAGTTTGTCAGTCGAGTGAGCCCTTGCACCAAAGCCCTCCTCCTCCCCAGCTCTGCCTCCTTCCTCCCTTCCCCGGCTCAGTCCACCTTGGCTGGGTGGAGAAGGGCGAGGAGAGGGGGCGGGAGGACCCTGAGGGTAACTGGCAGGGCGTTTCTTGGGCCCTGTTCAAGCCTGTTTGCTGGCACTGGCAACTGAGCGTTAATTTCCTTCCAAACTCTCTCCTAGCTGCAGGCAAAGAGAGCGTCCCAGGAACACAAGGAGAGTTATGGGGTGGGGGCGAAGGGAGGGAAATGTCCTTTGGGGGAGATTTCCACGCCTTGCCAACTACAGAGAGACATTAAGGACAAATGTACTCGGGGGGTGGAGGTGGGGACGGAAGCATCAAGCACAACAGAGACTTCAGTCCGACCCAAACCAAACTGTCGCTAGCGTGCAGGAATGGCATAGAGAAGGGGAGGTGCTGCGGGTCAGGTTAGAGGAGAGGGAATGTTGAACAAACAGAGGGGAACAGGCCGGCTGCTTCGCCCACCCCCCACGGCACCAGCGCTCACATGGCCCCAGCTCTCTCACACCTTCAAAGCACAGAGTCACTCAGACTGAACCACCACTGCACACACTAGTCCAGAGAGGAGGAGCCTCGGGCTGAAGCCTCGGGGACGTCGGCCTGATGGAACCATGAGCCGAATTCCAGGGAAGGTGGGAAGCAACTCTGGCTGCACAGCTGACCAGGAGGGTGTTCTCTCTCTTTCTCTCTCTTTCTGCCTCATCTCCCCATGCCCCAGCTCCATCACTTCCCTAGCTGGCACTGTGCATCCAAAGGGCAGAGCCGCTAGCCCAGCCATGCGCAGTCCAGCTCTCCCGCTCCCAGGGAGGGGTCGCGCTTTCCTCTTTATGGATTGATTTGTGCTGGGTGAGTGCAGGATCCTTCGTTCCTCCCTCTCTGTTATCGTCGCCGCAAGCAGATGGCGTCAGGGTAATTTTCGTGACCATTTTTGGAAAAGTTCTACCCTGACCCCTTCCGTGTCACCCGAGCAAATCCACAAGTTTGACCGAGATTCTACCTCTTGCTAAAGCCTCCGCCGGGAACGTTCACACATGCCGCTAGGCGAGCTAACGTGGCTCCTTTCCTTCTCCCACCCGCCTCTCAATGAGCAGTGTCCAGCCCCATATAGCGTTCGCCTTGCCTCCACCGGGCCTCGAGTGCAATCTCTTCCTGATGCCAAGCACGGCTCTTGTTCAGAGAGAGAGAGAGAGAGGCCCTGCCAGGAACCAAAGCTGAGATGGATAGTCTGGCTGCTGAAAGAGTCTCTGCGCAAGCTGATGCGAAAGAAGCCAGCAAGCTCTCACCAAAACAGCGGGGAAAAAGAAAGGCAGCGATTGCCAGTGACCACAGCAACACCCAGGTGCTGCACCAGAATCCATTCCTGAACGGCACCGAACTCCATTCCAAGATTTCTCTGACACTCTATGTAATGTGTCAGGGAGCCACTGTCATGTGGGGGTCAGGCAGGGAGCAGACTCCTGCAGTCCAGAATAAGAAGGAAGAACCCCCGGAACTGGATTTCTGTGCTCTTCTGGAATGGATTCAGGGTATAACCTCCTAACAGCACCACTTGCTTATTAAAGAAACAACGGCTAGATCTGAGCATCTCCTGCTGTCAAAGGAGCAAAGAGGGGGAAATAAACCACCAGCCAACCACCAGAAGAAAAAGGAGGAAAAGGCTCGTCACTTACTTTTCTTGTTTAGCTTTGACGTCTTTCTTTGGTCTGCGGGGCAAGAGAGAACAAATGCTGGCTTAGAAGGGAGCCAGTGGCAGGCCCTTACTCTACTGTCCTCCCCTTCACCATCCCAGCCCCCCCTCCCCAAGGACAGCAATCCCACCACTGTGCCCTGGGCACTTTGCACATAGGCCCCATCTATCCCGACTGGCTGAGCGACCTCCCTGGAGGGGTTTGTCCTCCTTTTGCAACCCGTTGGCAGCCAAGGGGCTCCATGGGACAAGGGCTATCATCGGCCCTCCCCGTACTCTCCTCCAGCCCCCCGGCAGTCTCTAGAAAGGTGGTGACGTCACCAGCGAAGGACCCTTTGCTCCCCAGCCCCTCTGTGAACCAGCTTGGAGCAGATCTGCAGCCTCAGGCCAGGGTCCCTAACCCCCAATGCCAGTAAAAAGGAAAGGCCAGCTCCCCGTGGGCAGGTGCATTCTGAGGGCAGCTGGCGCCCTGGAGATCCCCAGCGTGGCTCCATCCTCACCTGCATTCACATTTACTGTGCTGTAAGAAGCTCATGTGCACTATGTGCTGACTCTGATGGGGTTTAATTCTCATTATCTGGAAGGAAAGACACAGAGAGAGTCACAATCATGGGCCAGTTGGGGCTGATCGGCATCTCTGCCAAGGAGCACAGACAGAAGAAACATTCCCAGCCCCCACTGTCTCTCTGAGGAGGGCACCAGAGCTCCTAGTGGTACTTCCAGGCGCATCCCCAAGGTCAGTGGAGCCCTTTGCATGCCTGGCAGGAAGCAGCACCAAGCTCAGCCTAGGGCTTTAGTTTTTCAGATGTGAAGTGGAACTGGTGCTGGTGACAAGTACAGAGTGACAGCCCTGGACACTGGCACAGGAGAAAGAGCAGCTGTGCATGCTTACCCCATGCTGCCCTGTCCATAGACTTCCTCCCTAGTGACATTGCTAAAGGCCGACACTTGCTTCATCAGTACCAGGCCCCTCTAAGACTGACAAGAGAACAGCTGATTTCACAGCAGCCACAAAACTGCCCTCAACTGGAGACGGACTTCAGTCCCTACCAACACGAGTGGCATTTAAACCAAGATTCCACAGCCCACTCCTGATCACCTGCCCCATCCTGGATTCAAACTGGTGCTTTCCAGGTGTAAGGCTCTGGGAGCAAACTCTTGATCCCCTGAGTCGCCCAGGCCACTCATGCAGAATGAAAGCCACTGTGTAGCAAGACATGTGAACCATTCAATGCTGCAGAGCCACGATTCCTGCACTCAGCACTAGAATCATCCCTGAAGGGCCAGCTCTTCAGCTGGTGTCAATCAGTGCAGCTCCAGCAAAGTTACTTAAGCCACGGATCAGACCCTCTGTATTTATATTGCACTCATCACGGTGGTCTCTGAACCCAGCTGGGACGCTAGCACTGGTGCTTCCAGCAGAGATCTGCTGATGTGCTCCTGCTCCCAGTGCATGTGCACATCGGCCAGCTACGGTGAGTCCAGTGTGAAGGGGCAGGAAGAAATGCGTCCCTATTTACAGCACCCTGCATAATGGGTCTCCGATCCTGATCGGAGCCTGAGCTGCTGCTGCAATATAAATAATACTGCAAGGTTCTCAACACACAAAGTCAAATTTGGCTCAGGAGTGTGTTTAGTGTCAACATAGTCCCATGTGGTCTCTTGTCCATACCACAAAGCCACTGCAATATTTACAGTCTCTGCTTGAGGGGCCCAGGGCTGGAACGGGGGTGGGAGGAGGCTGCAGGTCAGGAGTGAGGAACTGTGTATGGGGAACCCAGGATTGGAATAGCAGGATTAGTGCTGGTCAGGCTCAGGGGCATCAGCATTGCTGTGGGGGTGAGAGACGGGAACCCAGCCAGTGTGGAGGTACAGTGGCTGATCTATATGGGGAACGCTTTCACAGAGCGCCTCTTGCTAGTACGCCTGGCCTTCGCCAGCCTCTGACTTTCCTGAGCACTGAATTCAGCAGTTTCAGAACAAAAGCGAGAAAGGCACAGAGACTTTTCCACTTGACACTGCAGCAGTTGCATTTCTTAGAGCCCCTTCCCACCCCTGCTGGGCCATTGGAGCTAATGGCCCAAATCCCCAGCTCTGCTGGTAAAGGCTGACCTGACATGCCCTCCAGGGAAGAGTTCAGAGAGGGCATCCTCTTTTACACTACACTCAGCCGCCACAGGATCACGTGCTGCCTGATACAAGTACCAGAGCAAGAGTTAATGTGGAACAAGGGGCTGGGAAGATTCCCTACCCAGCCTCCGAGATAACACCCGGAAGTCATTAGAAGTGCTCCCTTTATAATGCAGCTTCTCTGTCTGTGGCTAGTGAGTTAACTCCACTGACCCAGAAAATGGATTCTCCCCTTAACCTTAAATGGAAGCAACTCCTGTTAAATCCACTTGGTGCAGCCATTGGAGATCAGACCCCCGAAGCAATGTCTCATCACACCAGCCTATGCCTAGAAGTGAGACTTGACCACCCCCCTTTCCCCTCCCTAAGACTCCAGAGGAGGCCCATCTGCCTTCTCTGTAGAGGTCTCCCTCCTTCTCCTCCTTGGCTGCCTCAAAGTGAGCAAGTTACAGTGACAAAGGGGATGGCCGAGGGCAGGAGGCGTCATCCCCTCGGCCATCCCCATTCTCCAGCCATGCCCTCACCTCCATGGTGACGTTGTGCACCTCCATGGGGACGCATTCTAGGCCCTCATCACCACAGCAGCCTGCACACCTCAGCAGGGGTACGCAGGATGGCTTGAAGATGTACTCCACCTCATCGGGGTACTCCTGGAAAATGTCCACCAGGGTCTCAATCGTCCTGCAAAAGCTGCGCTCGTAGACCTCCAGGAACCTGATAACTATGAGGTGGGAGAGAGGGAAGGAGAGAAAGAGAGGGAATAAATTAACAGCAGCTCGGCCTGGGAACACTCACACCTTCCCCTTAAAATGAGACAAGCAGTTGCAATTACTGATCCCTCTGCCCTTTGCTGGGGGCCCTGCTGCCCTGATCTGCCTCTGCAGTACAGAGTCCCTCATCTTCACCCCACCAAGCTGAGGGGGCCCCCAATGGTGCAAATTAACTTCCCAGATATCCTGTTAACTCCTTAGGGGAAGGGCGGCTCTTGCCTGAATTAGCTGCTGCTTCTGGGTAGCAGAGGAAGGGTGGAAGTGGGAAGATAACTGTCTAGGCTGATCTAAGTCACCTGGCCCCGATGCCTTCCTACCTGCCTTCCTACCCCTGTTATCTGACACACTCCATCGGACTCCCTGCCACTAAATGCCTTAGCTCAGCCAAAAAGCACCTGACGCTGACACGGATGGTTTTGGGTGGGGGTGAGTCATTAGTAGGATTTATCTTTCACCCCATTCAAAGTGTCAAATTCTCATCCAATGGACATGGGGAATGCCATAATCTAAAGTGGGAAGTGACTCCCAAAAGGTCAGGACAGAGGGGACAGACTCCACCACTGCCCATCTTTGGGAACAGAAGCTCCCTTGGGGTGAAGGAGAATGGGTTTGAATCATTAAAAGTGCATTCCCACTCTTCCGTGCTGTCCCTCCCCCATTCTACCTTCCTGTCCACCCACCCAGAGCCTGCCTGTCAGATCCAGAGCATCCGTTCCAATATGCCACCTTCTGCAGCACTACACTGCCTGTTAACGACATTTGCCAGAGGATCAGTCCCTAATTCCCCGGATTCTCTCAGCCAGACCACGGTTTCTCAGCCCAGGAAATCCAGGGTCAGCGGAGTGGAGAAATCAAAGCCACCTCTCAGCATCCAGGGTAATAACTGGGCCACATACTAGAATGAGGCAGAGTGGGGTGCAGATCTGCCTTTACTTCCTCCCTTTCACTCTGAGTACCCAAGCGAACTAAATATCAGGTGCTGGGACCCTCTCTGATTTCACAAGTGTTTCCCAGTCTGGTGCCAAAGATTCATCTCACTGCTTGGGCAAGGGGTGGAGAGATTTAAAGAGGTGATAGATGAATACACAGACAAAGCCCTGTTCTGCGGATAGCAAATGCATGGCACCCTACAGTCCAGCATGCGTTCTAGAGAGGAAGTTTCAAAGAGCAGAGGGAGAGTGTATGCATAGGGAGACGGTGGCAGGCCTGTGCTGTCCCACATTAGAATGACACGCCTGCACTGTATGCACACAGTCCTGTAATGGTGAGGTCGATAACCCCATGTGATAAGCACAAACTGCTTGCATCATGGAAAAAATGGTCTCTACTAAGCGTTTCTGCAGTGCCCTGAACCTGTGACAAACTAGCATAAAGGTTACTTTGCCACAAAAATATAAAAACTGCAGGGCTCTGAGCTCAGGGCCCACAGTTAATTGTTGAAAGTTAATTCTAGGTCATGCAGAGCTGACAGTGTCACAGTACTGCTGGCAGCGGGTGCGAGGGGGAGGAGCAACTGTTTGGGAATTGAAAGTGTCAGAGAGCACAAGCACCTATTAAAAGGGAAAGTGGCTCAGGGAAGGGAAATGTGACCTGCAAGACAGGGACTGGTTGCTAGCATTCTTCCTCCAGAAGAGTCATTCCCCATCTCCTCTGCAAGCCTGCCTCTCATCTCCTTCCCTGTCTTGTCTGTGTCACCTCCTTCTTCTTGTTCCCCTTCAGGGTAACCTTAACCTTAAAAAGAGACTACCTCTATACAGTAGATTTAAACAATTTAGTCCCTGGGAAATTACACAGGCCCAGAGACAGCCATGGAGGCGCACTGCTGATTATTCACACCCTCCCAGTGTTAAGGATCTGGGAACTGTCGCAGTACAAATAAGTCTGGGATAAAAATGCGGATGGATCCATGCAGGGGTGGAATCCCTACATGTGCAAACCAAACACTACTGCATGTGCTAGTCTAGTCATGACAGGCAGAAACTGAAACTGACTAGAAACTAAAGTGAAACTGACCAGCCTGCTTCCATTGTCCAAACTGAGTGTGTCAGAAGGGAAAACCAACTGCATAAATGATGAAAAAATACATTTGGCTTTTAAAAATTCATTATTTTTTTTTATAACCTAAGGGGTTATTAGCAACATAAGGAAGGCGATTCCATTTCTAAGGCCAGATTTATTGGTGGATTCCAAATACATTGCTTTGCCAGAACAGCACCACGCAGCTGAATCATGCCAGTGACTGTGGTCTATAGTTTGGTTTCAAAACTGCATGTGTAGTTTCCTTTGCAGAGTCTTTTGTTTCATTTGTACAGTCTCCAGTCCTTACACGTTCAGCAGTGCCCTGACCATAGTGCTGGGGATTCACGCTGCCAAACCCAGAATGTCCCCATAGGAAATCTCCAGTAGAAGACGCAGCCTTTACTTGCTGCTGTTTTTTGTGTTTGAATATGAAAGATTATTTTCAGGAACATGTGTCAGCTTCTGAAGAGGGGGAGGGGAATCTGTACCCAAATTTAAATCAGAATATCCTGCCCAGGAAGGGGCAGATTTCGCCAGATGCATTGATTTATTTGAGTTTAAGGTGCTCAATACTTAGCAGGATCAAGCCCAAATTTGGAGCTGAGTGGTGGAGAGACACCATGCTAGAAAAGAGGGTGGTGCTCACAGAATGGGTCTGTGATTGGTTCACTGCTGTGCCCATCACTGGCTGAGCAGCTATATATACATACTGTTCTTTTAAAAATAAAAAGCGCAATCACAGGAGCTAGTGGTTTCCTTTATTTATACCAGAAAAATCTTTTCTCGTGGAGCAAACAAAGAGTGCTTGTCTGGCTTCTCTACAACGGCCTGTGCCACAAAATCACACGGAAGGATATCTGAGCAGCAGGGGGCTAGGTCTACAATTACAAATAGTCCCCAAATTGGATCAAGTCCATCCCAAATGTAATCCTGGCTGAAGCGGGTGGGTCAGTGAAGAGGCCAAAGAAACAAAATGACCTTTCGTCCCAGGACCTTTATAAAGCATGACGCTGTATGACTCCCTTGTGGAGTAGCTGAGTATTATCACCCCATTTCACAGAGGGGGAAACAGAGGCATGGGGAGGGGAGCAAGGGGGAAGGAATGGGATCTGACTTCCCAAGGTCTCGGAGCAAATTAGAAGCCGAGCCAGGAAGATAACCCATGACTCCTGATTTCTAGTACCCTGAGCTAACCATAGACATATTTGCATCGCAAAACCAGGAATAGAACCTATGAGTCCTGATTCTTAATCCCTCTGCTCCAATCAATAGACCAATCTCTCTTCCCTTCCCATCGCCATTCTTGTGAGGTGGAACCAGGAGTGGGTGGAAATTAAGAACCCGCCAGGACAACGGGCACCGTTCAACTCCTCCTCTCACCAGTAAGATGGATGGGAGCACAAAGGGGGCACAGACCAGGGTATTAGCTGCTACTCGTTTCTACCACTAGCAGAGGGACTGGGTACCCAAATGAGCCTCGCAGCGGGCTCAATCCTGCTTCCTCTGAAGTCAATAAGCCTTTCACACTGTTCACGGGGCAGTCTGCCAGCAAACCAGAAATGGATGACAATGCAAAATGGACACCTTGTAACAAATCTAGCCTGCTGGAAATCTCTGGCAACACTCCTATGGCTTGTCATGCCAATAAAGTTATTGAAATTGAAACTGAGTGTGGCAGGGAGGGGTTCAGTCCCTAGGTGCACTGCTAGAGCCCCCTGCTGCCCTGCTGTGGGAATAACACCGAGGGTCACAACCTGCCAGGCCTTGCCACTCAAGATGAGGATAAAGACAAGCTGGGGCCGTGGATGGCCATGGCCAGCGTGACAGTGGCTTTCTCCAGCATGAAGGTGGAAAAGAACGGTAACCCTGTCTGAGATGTGGCACAGAAGGTCACCTCACCCTACTGCTCCAAAGTCCACAGTGCTGTAATCCCCAGTCTGAATCAAGAACTACAGAGAGAAAGCTGAGCCATTAAAATATACGGGTTCCCACAAGTCAGAAGAGGGCTACCAAGGCTTGCCATCTGATAGCTTGGTGCCTACTGCGGTTCTAGTCTATACCCAGATTTATTCAGCCCTCCGTCCAAACACCTGATTTACTACCCATTATAGTCTTTGAGCAGCTAGCGTTATCTGAGATAGCAATGACTTGAGAAGCACCAAGGTCTCACTTCCTTTTCATCTGGTATCCCCATAGGTACTAGACTGCCAGCAATGAACTGAATCGAATCAACTGGGCTATGGTACCAACTAATACACTCTCTAGGCCTGCTACCTCAAACAGAGCAAAAGGGAATGTGTTTCAGGTCTGTCACTATATAGTGCAACCCTCTCCTCCTTCCAAGAGTTCTGGCTGAGAGTCTGGAAAATTAGCCCTGGCTTCTTCTTCTTTTTTTTTTTTTTTTTTTTTTTTTAAGATGAGCTATCTTACTGGCTCAGGAAGATCCAGGTGCTGATTGGTCCTTTGTCTGATGATCAGATCTTATCACTGAGCAGGGCACAGGGAGTGCGCATGGGAAAGAGGAGAGGGAGACAGGCAGCAAAAATGACAAACTCCTTCCTGTGACATTAGGAACTACTCATAGCCACTCAGCTTCTGGTAAATTGTTTTTTCCCCCCGGCATTTTGGGAAATGGGCAATGGGTTCATAAGGATCTCTGCAATATCTTCCATTGGATTGATACAGCCTGTGTCCCTCTATCTCTCCAGAAAAGATGAAGGAAGAGAAAAGTCTGCTCTTCAGACAGGCCCACCTGTTTCACAAAACGGCTTTCCAAATTAAAGAGCAGTTCTGACTAATATGAAGCCACAAAAGGGTTAAATCTGGTGTCTCACATTTCAAGTCCTATTCTCTTCCCCCGCCCCCCCACCCCGCACACTTTGCTCCTGCTTTCCAGAAGGTGGCAGTATTGGTCCTCAGGTTCTTCCCAGCAGCTTGGCTCAATGTCTCCCCCAAAGCACCCCATTCCCCACCTCCCAGAGCTTCTGGTCTTCCTAATTGCTTGTAAGCCCTGTAGCTGTTGAGAAGAAAGAGGCAAGCCGCTTACCTTCATTGGGTTTCCTCTCCCCATCCCCCAGGGTCGGAGCGGCCTGCGACAACTGCAAAGATAACAGAAAATTAGTCAAAACACAAAGTCATTATCCTGTCCCCAGGGGCGGTTAGGGAGCTGAGCCGCTTCCCAGGATTCCACCCTCAAGCTCCAGAATGCTGCGGTAACAATGCCACTGGAAGCAACAGTGTTTCGGAGCATTATTGTAGCGTTCGGATGCATTCCAGCCCCCCTAGTTCCATCCCAACCCTCTTCTCCCCTTGGAAAATAAAGCCGCCACAAAGGAGCATGTCTGACTTCCCTGTTACAACCTTACAGGGAGAAGTGTTGCATGCGGGGAGAAGTTATTAGTAAAGGCTTTTGCCGGCTTTGAGGGGAAGTGTTCCCCCCCCCCTCCTGCCCCATGTGACTGCAAGACAAGCACAGAGAAACCTTTGTCTTCTCTTTCCTCCAGAGCAGAAAAAAATGAAATAAAAATAACACCTTCGGCCTGGGCTTAAAAGGGGGGGGGGGGGGGGGGGGCGACAACACACCACCCAGGCAAAGGCAATTCACCCCAGTGTGTGTATGAGAGAGAGTCAGAGAGGGCACTTGGGAGTGGAGTGGGTGGGGATCTGGTTTAATGCAACATCACTTTAAAAAAAGAACACAGAGAAATTAACTGCTCAAAGGCATTTCAAATTATTAAGGTCAAAAAACAGAACGGGAATCTGGGCGGGGGAGAAAAACAACATTGGTGACCTTCTAACGCTGACATGACAAATACGCTAGGAGATTTGTCCACGTTCATGTTCCAAGGAAAGTTAGTGGAAGGTATTTCAAAAAGGGGCCTAGGTTACAAAGCAGGCTAGCAAGTGCAGACGGATTGGGTACTGCTTTTAAAGGGACAACAGCCCTATTTTTTCTACCTTCCGTCTCGCTCCTAAATTAGTCTCTGTTATAAAGGTAAATCATTTGAGCTGGCATTATGTGGCAGGGGGGAGGAGGGTGAGAAAAGTCTCATGGTTTGAAAGGTCATCTCTGCTCTTACCATGTTTGCCGCTGAGTGGTGGCGGTGGTTGGGTGTCGATATTTAGCTTTATGTCAGAGTGATTAACTGTTACGTCACTCCCTCACATAGTAACTGCCCAAAACTACCCTTGCTCCCTCCCACTCCCCCGGCATGAAGGGCATTGCGCACCACAGCACAATGGGGCCACAGATCTGGGCCAGAGCCTCTGTGCTGCAGAACCAAGTCTAGGCCCCTCAGCTCCCTCTGTCACACTTTCCTAACCAAAAAAAAAAACCCCTCCTGCTCTTTTTGTAATGACAAGAGACACTTCTGAGTAACTGACACAGGCATTAATGGAATTAATTAACCTGCCCCCCAACCAGAGGGAGAGATGGAGAGAAAGCATTACTGTGTTTTATCAGAGAACTGTTTTAAATTTCAGGTGAGACCTTAAAAACCCATCTCCTGTCTGCTCGGTGTGAGCATTATAGCTCTGATTGCATTTTCCATAAGGCAGACTTCACCCTGCTGTCCTTGACCAAAACCACCCACTCACTCGCTATTTGTGCAACGTGCTGCCATCTGCATGTCCTCCACCCCAGAGACAGCTGCATTTCAGAGGAGCTGTATTAAAGTGCTTTGGGATGAGTGGTGATATATAATGCAATATATTATTTATCACTGATCGTATTAGGCTTTTTAAAACAATAATCACTGTCATCTCACAAATGGCCAGGTACGTGACTGGAGCCAGCCAGCCCAGGACAGTGTGAGGCCTGCCAAATAGATCAGCTACCTATATGCTTCCACACAGACCCACACACAACCTAGCACCACCAGCTTTAAGAGGAGGGAGGAGATGGAGCTTCCAAAGCAGGAGAAGAAACCCCTCTCCCAATTATTCCCCAGGGCCGGTGTATAGTTCCCTCTAGCTAAGGTTCCCCTGATCTGCCTCCCAACGCCACTGAAGCACATAAGCTCCTGGCCCTAGGTATAACATGCAAATCCAACCTTCAGTCACCCAGTTAAGGGCCTATTCCCCACGGGAAGAGAAGCTAACTGCCCTCACTCTGCGTTAGGGCTGTGATATCAGCTTTAAAAGAGGACTCCCAGGAACACTTTAATTCCTGAAGGGTGAAGGTCACTGCAACAGCACAAACAAAATGGAGGAGGAAGAGGCTGCAGCAGCCCTCCAGAACCAGCCCAAGCCTGAAGACCAAGGGCCAAAAGGGACAGAAAAGCATCAGCTGTGCCCTAGCGAAGGAAGGAAATCACCAACCAGATCAGTCTGTTCAATCTACAAGGCCCAAAAGTACTGTTAGGGTAGGGCTCTGAGTCAGGCACAGCATGACCATTGCCCGCTACTGAGAACTGGCTTGGAGACATCTTTACAGCTCAGCTGTGCCTACTCGCTTTCTGGGGTCACTAGCCTCCCCTGCCACATGGCCCCCACGTCGCCAGCAGGTGTCAGGAAACAGGTGTAAGCAGCTCATTTTCACTCCTCACCTGCAACACAGCCCATACCTCGTTCTTCAGCAGAACCCACCGTCTCACAACCAGCACCTGGCGCAGCAGCCATTCTAGGAAGTAACCAAACTCTAACCCGTGATTTTACTGCTATCAAGGTGTGTGAGTGCGTGTGCAAACTGCTAGCTAACAAAGTCTGCAAGCGTGTTAAAAGTCATACAACAGTCTGGGAAGTCACCTGAACTGGATTGCGGTGCCTGCCTGAAATCAACCCCTCATGCCACTCCTGACTACCAACTGGCCCGAAAAGAAGGTGATTTCACAGCAGGCTTCTGGAATTATTAATAATACGAGGTCTCCTTAGAGGCCCTGCTCCACTAGCATACTTCTCTCACTCCTTTTCCCTTTCCAATCACTGGTACCCACAGAGCCTGTCTGTTGAGGCAGCATGGCTTGGATGGAAGGGACCTTACCTCACATTAGATCAGGCGGCTATGTATCACAGAAGGGGCAACTGAAAAACAAAACCGGAAGAGCCCTTCAGGGGACAACAAGGCCCCATGCCCTTCGGTGGGAGCCTGAAGGTCGTGCTGCCAGGGCTCTCTCTCCTCTACTGGCTTTTGGAACTACTCATCACTTCCGTAATACGATTGCTTTCCATGTTTTTCTATGGCATGGATGCAGTCCCCGAGCTAGTGGCAGGTAAATCGCCTTGGGGTAGGGGCTGTACAAGAAGAAGCTTCTTTTGTGCTCTGTGCTCTTTGCAGGTTGTTGAGAATTTGTGGTCTGAAATCAGATAAACACTCCCCAACACAGTCAGCTCCTGACTCACCCTGTCTGTATCTGCACCTTCTCTGTCCCTTGTCTGATTGACTGAGGGATCCAGTTCTAATGCGAAGCAAGTTATTCTCTTGAGGAAGAGAAAAGGTTAATTCAATCGTTCCCCCCACCACAACCCTTCTCTTCCTTCCCCTCCCCCTAATCTCTGCAGGCTCATTAAAAGAGCTTTGTAACTGTTTGGGGCTGGAACAAACAATCCAGCCACTTTGGGAGGGACTCTGGGACGGGAGTTAAGGCACTTTCAGTCTTAGGCGCTAGAAATTCTTCTCGGAGGTTTCTACGCAAGGAGGAGGCTTTACTGTAACCTTTCCCCATTGTACATGCAGAGAGAGGTCAGTAATCCTGCAAGCCGCTGGCAGACAGCATGGGACCTCTGAGACAGAGTAGAATGGGGCAAGAGAATCTAGGTTTGTCCAAGAATTAGAGATCCTCTGGGATGGCAGTGCAGAATCCCCCTTTTTTGCTCCCAAGACCTGCTCCTGTTAGTTTGTTCTCAGAGCAAGAGCGAGAAGCAGCTTTGGGGAAGGTGACCCGCTGTGGCTTGTCTACTCAGCGTGGAAGAGGCTGGGGAAGTTAGTTTTCCTGGCGTTTCCAGTGTGGCCTGGCTCATAGACACACCAAAAGCAGGAGCCTGGTGGGTGTGAGATCATTAACAGTCTAGTCACAGGCTCTCTTTCCCTCCCTCCCTCAGTGTCTGATCACTGCCGGATCCCTATGGCAATACAGCTGGTGTGCCCAAGTCTCTCCACATTCCAAGGTAGGAAGGGAAGAGCTCGGGCTCCCAGGATATTCTCACCCTGGGGTCACTCCTAGGAGGCTGCAGTTTAGAATCAAACCCAACAAACAAAAAAATGATGGGGCCGGCCTGTGCTTCCTTGCTTTCTAGGGAAAAGGGGCTGTGGGGAAGTCAACTTACCCTCTCCCCAAACTCACCAGCCCCACCTGACCCTGAGAGGAGTGAGGACAGGGTGGCAGGGCAGGGCTGGCTAACATTTGGGAAGGGTGGTATTCTAACTGCATTCTCCTCCCACCCTCCCCCTCATTACAAAGGATACTCCCCACAAGTAGACCGGGATACCTGCAGCAGCACCGCCCATCCCAGGCCACCAACTCACAATTTCCCACTGTCCCAGCCTCCCAGCAAGTAGTGATAATAATAGTAACAGCCTCAACAATGAGTAATTATAACTCTGCCTTTACTAAAGCGGCATTGTAATACCAGCCCCTCTCCTCTGCATTTATTAAAGCAGCATTGCATTACCTGTACCTTGCTTTTCCCATGAGACCTGGGCCAGGGCTTTATTTAATTCTCCCCAGCGTGCCTGGCTAGGCAGATAAGTGGAGATAAAATATTATCATCAAAGCGCGAACCTCGGGTCCCAACACAAAGAGTCATGTTTTATGACATGCCCACGGTCATCGCCATGCTGCCTACGTGAGATCTGTCTAGCACCAGTATTTTTAATGTTCCCACCACCATAGTATCTAGGCGACCGACATACAAATAAGGGCAGAACTCACATCTGTCTGCAGGAACCTGGTGGTCTGTCTGTCTAGGCACTTAACTGGCCCCCCATCTCTGTACTATCGGAGGAGCATCTCACAATCTTTAATGCCTTAATCCTCATGACACTCTGTGAGGCAGGGATGCCTCTTCCCTGCCACTCTGTTATTCCTCCTTATTTGTTCCTACCTTTTCCCTCTGTCTCCTTCGTTCCTTGTCATTATCCTCCACTGGTGAGGAGAGACTTTCGCAGAAGGCTTTTTGCACTGTGTTCTGAAAACGGCCAGACTTGGGTTCTGTCTGATCTGCTGTTTTCAGAACGGTTTCAAAGTTTTTTGGTTGTTGGTTTTTTTTAAAACCACCTTAACATGAGACAAGCCAAGGACAGGCCAGTGATATCACCATAACTTAACACATGACACTCTCCAATAGGAGAGAAGCCTGGTTTTCTATCAAGTGCAGGCTAATTTGCTGCTGTCACTAAGAAAGTGGCAATATAACAGGCTAGCAACAAAGCGTGTGATGCCTGCCAGACTTTAGTTACATCTGAAATGGCTTCTAATTGAGGAGTTACCTTCTAGTGTCAGTGCTGAGCAAACAATGTGAACAGCAGGTTAGTTTACAAATTATATTTATTTTCACACTGGAGGGCCTGGCCCTCAGTGATGGCCTCCCCAAATTCCTGAAGACAAATGGCAGAAGAAAACTAACTTATTCTTATCCCTCCAATTATAATATATGCCCACCTAGCCAATGTACACCACAGTCACCTGGACGCTCAATCTAATCCGTTTAAAAACTACACCTCTTTGGCAACACATTCCCCTTGACTCCCTTAAAAAGAGACAGATTTGTACAAAGAGGTGTATTTTTTTTAAGGAGGCCAAACCAATTTCGGATCCTTGGGAATGCCAGGGAGGCTAGGGAGAGAAGGGGGAAATCGGAGTTTTGAAATCTCAGCGGGGACATGTATTTTGCAAATCAGTCTGGATGAAATACAGAACCCATTCTGTCCCCTTTGATCTCTATTTGTTTTTCCAGCGAGGTGTTCTCGGAGCGCCAGGCAGTAACATGCCCGAGAGATCTAGCTAAAGACAAATAGGGCAAAATAGCCCTTTGCAATGCCAGGAGACAGAGGACGAGGCTTACAGCCCAGGCACGGTGCTCCCAGAAGCTGATGCAAGAAGTCAGCGTGCCGCTTACATGCCCGGGAAGCGATGACGGGGCCAAGCACGGGGATCATGTCCGCCTATGGATTTCAAATAAGGCTCCCAACTTCTACGAAACTCCACAGGCAACAGATCCGTCCCATTCCCAGGAGGAAGAGGAGAGTGGGCACGGGCTGAGCAGCGAGTGGGAAACCGGGACTCCTCCAGGAACTCATAAAATCCCGGATCTCTCTCTCCCCATCTCGCCCCCCAACCCCCCGCCCCCCAAGTACAAGGGTGCCTGCTGGCCTTTACACTCAAAGTGCATCTGTGTGTGTGTGTTCACTGTAGCTCACACACCTTTCTCGGTGTTTATCTGAGGGCGTGCGGCGTCTGGGGCTACTTCTGCAGGAGATACACGGCACCGCACACACAGTCGTGCCCTTACACACGCACGCAGAGACGGCTGCATATGTGACTTCCGTGCCCCTAGCCTGGGCGCGGGGCAGGCAAGGGGTGCTCGCTCTCCCACGGGCATCCAGGAGTTCCCAGCCTCGAGGCACAGTCGGTGGCAGTCGCAAGCGTGGGGGGGGGGGGGGGGGGACAAAGCCCGGGCGGGGGGGGGGGGCCCCCCGCCCCCCCCCCCCCCCACATACCCACCCCCCCCCCCCCCTTACCTTGGCGTTGTGGAGATAGAGCAGCGCCGCCAGCCCCCAGTGGATCCAAGTGAACAGAAAGTTCATGATTCCTGGAGCAGGTCGGGGGAGGGGGGTGGCTTGCTGAGCTTTTGCTGTCTCTCTCTGGCCGCCTGTCTCCTTCCCTTTCTCTCTACTCCTCCGTGCCCTCGTCCTCCCTCTCCTGGAGCCGCTCCCCTGGGCGATTTCTGCAAAGCTTGCGGCCAGGGGGGAACTCTTCAGTCTCGGGTTTCACCCCTCCATGAGCCCGGCTCTCTAACCGCCAAAGGAACAGACACCCCCCCTTTTTTTCCCTCTCTCTCTCTCCCTCTCTCTTGTTCCCTGCACAAAGCTCAGCCTCCTCCGTCCGGCCCGGTTCCGATCCGACCCCCGGAGGGACAATCCACGCTCCAAACGGCACCGATTTGTAACAGATTTCCCCTCGGAGAGGTAAGAAAAACCCACGCGCGCGCACACAAAAAAAGTTTGCCCGAAAGTTTCAATGCATTTTCCAGTCTTCGGGTTGGTTTCCTGCGGCTGCTCCCAAGCTGGAGTTTCCTTTCGGGGGAGGGGGGCTGATCCCCGCTTTGGATCCCTGGCTCAGCCCGGTTCTGTTCTCCTGCAACTGGGAGGGATCGGGGGTGGGGATTGGATCCCTTTCCTTCTTTCCACCGCTTTCAAAATCCAAACTGGCCGGGGAGTGGAGGGAAAATCCAAGCCGGTAAGAGTGGGGGCGGGGGGAATAAATTAATGATTGGGTAAAAATAATAATTAATAACAAATCCCAGCGCACAGGGAGAGCTGCTCCTCCTAGTCTGCTCTGCTCCCTCCTGTGCTGATCTGGCTCGCTCGCTCTCCTTTCTTGGCGGAGAGTCCGGCTGCACTTTGCTGTCGCTCGCTCGTGAACGTCAGGCAAGAGCCACAGCCCAGCGCTCTCTTTCTCTCCCTGCCTCGCTTCGCCCTCCCTCTGCAACTGCACAGCTCAGCCAGCTCCGCTCCTGACTCAAAGAGCTTACTAAGCCCCGCCCAGCTCCACCCTCTCCCCTCCCTCCTCTAGCAGGGGGCCAAATTCTGCGCGGGGGGTGGGGGGGGGAGGTTCCAATTCGCACACAGCCAGCTCCTTCCGAAAGCTCTCCGCAGAGTCGTGTGGTGCTGGCAATCGCTTGCAGCCAGAGGAACTGGGGATCCGCTCCAGTGCCCCCAGCCTCTTTCACTTTCCTTCTCCCCCCCCCAAGTCACGATTGCGTTCCCCCTTTTGCCAGCCCCTGTGGGCACGTGTTCAAAAAATCAGAATTCACCTTGTGAATGGGGCTTGCTCCAAACCAAAGCAAAATGCATGGGGGTGGGGGGGGAGCTATATCCTCGCCTGCTAATCCCCAAAGGACCTCTGACCCCAACATCCTATGATCTCTTAGCACCTAGGTAAGGGAGCATTCGCTCCTCCTGTGTATGTTTGACTTCCCTCCGGCCTGTGTGATTTCGTGTCAGCTCAAAGGACCTGTGGGTGCACACTGGTGTGCTGTGGGGACCATTCTGTCAGACAAACCTCAATCAGCTTCCTGGGGGTTAAAAATCTGTGCAGACGAAATGTGGACCCCACACACATTCCCCAATCAAGATCCTTCACTCCTGCCACCCACAATAGTTCATCCTTTGGAGAATATTGTTTTTATCCCTTCCTTTTTCTTGCAATAATTTGCATGTGTTAAAATACAGAGAGAGAGATCTCCTGCCTCCTGGCAATCGGGTAGATTGCACGTTCAACCTGGGCAAATTCCTTGAGTTCGCCACAGAGTGCTGAAAGGGGAAGGGGGTGGAAATGGGGAAGGACATATTCTCATTAGAAAGCAGTTTATTTCCAGCACAGTGCCACTAGGCCTGCGATGATACAGAGAAGCATTGACTCTATAGAGGCACCTGCTGGTGGAGGAAAACACACACACAAAAATCATTTTATTTCCCTTTGTGGTTCTTCGATTTGCTCTTCTTTTTGTTGGCTTATCTTGGAATCCCTTTTGTGTTGCCATCTGATGCAGCATTCGCCAATGGGGGGCTCAGTCTTGCTGATCTGGTCTGGGATTTGGCCTGAGTAAGGACTGACTCACTTCCAGCAACTGCAGTGGTGGGCTCCTCGTGTGCACTGCAGGATTTGCAGCCGAGGGGAGAGGTCAGAGCTTTGTAGAAGCCTGAGGAGGGTCCGTGGTCCTGCTTGCAACAGGGCAGGAGGGTTGTTCAAACATTGCAAAAGACTCCCTCCTTTTTTCTAAGTGTTACAAAGACTCCTTCTGAGGCAGCAAATTGCAAATTACTGGACTTTCCTTTAAATGTCACTGCCAAAAATTGCCTCAGGGCTGATAGGCCCACAGGAAGGGGGTAGGATATTTCTCTAAATAAAGCTAAAATAAAAGGTCCCACATTCTGGACCTTTTCCAACAATGTTTTGTGCAGATCCCTATATGCAGTCCCATCCTCCTGTCCTGGCCCCTGCATCGCTCTCCATGGGCAGCAGACAGCTGGGCCTATGGGGAGGGAGAACTGCACAGTTTTCTTTATTCCGTGTAAAGTCCAACAGACTTTTTTTAATTAGTTTTTTTATGAATGAATGTTGTTATGAATCAAATAATCCATAACTTTAACAATCCTGTGTCTGGGTGAAATTGACAAGGCCTATGCATCACAGTAATCTATCAACATAATTTTCAATCCACCAATGGGTCATATCCCCATAAAGCTACAATGTACTGTAAATAATGTACAGCATCCTCACTTCTAAAATTACCCCTATAACATTGCTCACCTGGTCTTATGTTTCACCTGGATCTTTATACCGGCAAACATCCTTTTACCAAAAAAGCAGCCAAACTGAAATCTGACCAAATGTTCATGTAGCTGCATGAATTCAGGCACAAGCGAGAAGACTCATGTGCCTTCCCATGTTAAGGTTCTACTGCAGCTAATGTGAGGCAATAGCTGTAAGCATTTCTATGGTGCCTAGAATGTTTATTAGAGGTGCCATACATCAACAAAGAAACGAAACAAACGTTCATGCCATATTTCCTGTATGGTTCGTATTCTTTTACTCATGATAACAAGTCATAAGTAGCTGGAGGATGGGAGGAAGAATTTAATGGCCAAGATGTTAAATAATGGGTACCTAAAAATCCTAAACCCATATTTAGGCTCTTAAGTAAGTGGCCTGGTTTTTAAAATGGCTGAGCGGTGACTTATTTGGTACCTGCTAGTGCTGAGTACTTTTAATAACCAGGCCATTTAGGACTTACTCTTGTACCATTGAAGTCAATGGGAGATTTTCTCTTGACTTCAATGGGCACAAAATCTAGCTGCTTAAATATTAATTTTAAGTGGTCTGAAAAAATGGGGGTGTCTATCATAATCTGGGAGCAGGAGCTTCGCTAAGACAGTGCTTGAACTGCATCCCTCAGTGATCTGGCTCAAATTTTAAATATTTATTTTTGCCAGATCTGCGACTCCCTCCTTCGCCCCCCCTCCCGCACACACATACACTGTAAGCACTGAATTTCTAAGCCTAACTTTGAGCCTCCATTTTTGGAAATCTTGACCCATGCTAGTAATACTCTTCAGTTAATCACTCAATTAACCCTGAAAACATGCAGAAATATCAAGCCATTTTCAGTAACATTGCACTAATTGGAAGAGCTGGCGGTTTGTAGGCTGGAAAGCCAGGTTTCCAAGAACTGCATTCTCATTGTTTTTTTCTCCCCCTGCTTTCTGACCCCTGAAGGAACAACCGGAACAATTCTAAGGGATCCCTAAGCAAATTTCAAAATGGAATGGGAAGTCTGAGAAAAGTGGACATTAAAAACCAAACAAAAGAGTGTTTTCTTAGAATTCCATCTTGTGGGCAACTCTGATAGAATCTGGATTTGGATAATCTAAATTGGGAGAGAAGTCAGGGAAACAAAAAATTATTTTAAACATTTTAGTGCCAGAGCTATTTCTTAATACACAAATCACTCTCTGATTTCATATAAAGTCCCCCAGTGCCAAGCCTGGAGCATAGCACCAGAAAAAGATGTAGCTTGGTCAGTTCTCCCATCAGATCTGCAAAAAAAGCCAAAAAACAATATTGTACCATACTGGGAAAAGCCGTGAGTTGACAGGTCTGAATCCTAATGATTCAAATATGTTTCAGTTGATTATTTTTCCTTGAGAAATCACAGCTATGCAATATATAGTAGCTTGAGTATGGTATAGTCAATTGCTAAACTGTAGGTGGGTGGGGTAGATAGATCAGTGAATCATTCAATCCTTTTTTTTTTTCTTTCTTCACTTGCATTAACAGAAGCAACTCTAGGTGTAACAAAAGGTTTTCTTTCTGCGATGCTTTGCCAACGCTCCCTCTGGTGTGGTATAAATAGAATACAGGCAGCGGGCAATGTTAATACAGTTTGTATTTGCAGTCATTAGAGATGCCCATGCACCACCCACTGGCAGCTTCACTTGCCTCTGTCATTTGGGAGTTTATGTGGAAATTCTCAGTTTCTGGAAATAAAAAATGCATGGTACACTATGCACCATCACACATGCTGTCACTATATATTACTTTTACATCTTGGGTGGCTTTTTTCCACTGTCAGATGCTAAATCGGGCACATCTGGAGACCCAAAGAAGAGCTCTGGGTAGCTCAAAAGCTTGTCTCACCAATAGACATTGATCCAAAAAAAGTTATGACCTCACCTGCCTTGTCTCTCTCATGCACTGGGACCAACACGGCTACAGCAACACTGCAAACAACATTTACAGATGACAGCTTTAAGTTTCTTAGGGCTTTTAATCACAGAATACTGCACACACTCCAATGAGTATCCTAATGAAACTATGTTTAGGACTGTTTAAATCTAGGGAGCTTTCTTAATGATGCCTTCTCCATGTGAACTTGATAGGTTCTCATACACACATGCATATACACAGCCACACTGTAAAACCATCAGATTAGGAAATTAAATGCTGGGATGCTTCCCAGTTAATAAAAACAAAAGATACAAGCAGAAAAAAGGAAAAATGAGATACATAAGATAACGGGATTGTAAACTCTTCAGCTCTCAGCATCTTCTGCATGACTTTTGTTTTTCCTGGTGGGTGCTCCTTTCCACCTCCTCCCCCTTACGAGCACCAGGCAGGGCCTCAGGGAGAAGAGGCTGAGCAGGGATGGGGCCTTGAGGCGGAGAGGTGGGTGGCTTCTCAGGAAGAACAGAGTAGGGACTTTGAGCCCCGGAACACTCATGGAGTCAGTGCCTATGGTCTTCTGGACTCTCAGGATACATCTACACGTCAATTAAACATGTGTGGCTGGCCCATGTCAGCTAACTTGGGTTTGCCTATCTAGGGCTGTGTGGCTATAAAACTGCTGTGTAGAGGTTTGGGCTCAGGCTGCAGGCCGAGCCCTGGGACCCTGCAAGAAGGGAGGGTCCCAGAGCCCAGGCTCCAGCCCAAGCCTGGATATCTACACTGCAATTTTTAACCTCACATCCCAAGCCCTGCGAACCCGAGTCAGCTGACAAGGGCCAGCTGCGGCCACGCCACAGGGCTTTTATTCCAGTATAGACATACCCTCATAAAATAGCAGCCTGAAATTGTAGTCAACAGGGTTTTCTGCTGCCACAATGGAACTTTAGTGGAACTTCAGGTGCAAGGAGAAACTGATCAAAAGCTGGCGTAGCCTGTTTGTTGATGTCGTGACTTCCTCTCCCCAAGGCGGCCGGACTTGGAGATTCTGGAAGGTCAGTCTTCCCTCAAATGGCTCATTGACCCAAAAGCCGAGCTTCTGGGCCTTTCTGTTGATCCTTATCGTATGCATACTCCAATTGCTCTGTCTTATAGCCCCTCTCTTCAATGTCTTCAGTCCAATGAGGTTCAAATGAGGTCATCTTTAGCTAGCATCGGTTCTGGAAAACTCCACTTTAAATCAGTAATTCAAAAGGATA